ATATATATATATATATATATATATATATATATACAACACAACATATATATATATAATAATCGTTATTTGAATAAAAAAGAATTTATTTCAATCCTCTACACTAGTCTGGTTCAATTCGCCGAGTTAAGCCTTTCTCCAGAGCACGTCGAACGTTTCCAATTTAATTTCACGTATATCGCGATCGTTTCAATTCCACTTATCCTAATTCCCAATTTCAATCTTCGAACCGTAAAGCGGACGTTCGTTATCGTCGTCAACAATAATACCCTCGATTATCGGCGAAGCAACGAATCAACGATCCGGTATCTCTGGGTGAAACGCGCGTCGACCGTGCGCGCGATTAATCATTGACCAAGAATCTGGCGGTATCGGATCATTCTGTCCCGAGGCTCGAGACGAGCCTCTCTCGGTGTAATTCAGGGTTAAACGGCCGTGCCAATTAAGCGGGCCGCCCCTTAACGGCGAACCCCTTAACGGCCCAATATGTTTTCCGGCGAGTTTCGTCTCGTTTCCCGCTCCGCCCCCCCTTTTCCATCCTCCTCCTCCGCCGGAGTCCGTGCAGTTCTCATTATTTCGGAGCCGGGTATGGCAGGGTCTCGACGTGAGATTTCCCGGCTCGTTTCAAGGACCTTCACGGACCTCGCGAAAGCGTCGTCCGGGCGGCGGGAGGGGCGAAGGTGCAGGGGTCGGGGCGGAAAAACGACGAATAGACGAGAGAAAGACGGACGATCAGCGGAGCCGAGCTGAACGAAGAGGGCGGGAGAGACGGCGGAGCGTTACAGCACTGACTGCGCGACACCATGACGCAGCCACGGGGCAGATTGGACAGTTATTGCATTCTGGGTAAGATTAATTGATATGGGGACACGCGGGGGCGGCGGGCGCACCGGGCTGCCGCTTAAATCGTGTCTCAGGAATGGGGATGAGAGAGAGCGGTGATTAACCGATTGCACCCGTGAACGGATACCCGTCCCACCCCCTGCTCGCCCGCCACCCTCTCTAATAGCCATTGAGTAATAGAGAGCGTCTCATTATTAAATAGCGCGAGAGCCCCGCCTCGTCTGCGAGACCGTTTATTTGTTCGAGTAATGACGTGATTACCGGCCGCCGCGTATCGCGGCCAGATTTATCGTGCCTGTTCATCCCCGGCGGACAGCTGCGCGAAGAATCTTCGCTGTTTCATGCGCTCGACTGGTTTGTCGTTTGTAATATTCACGAGGAGGTGCGGAGTTTCTATCCGACGTGGATTAAAAGTTTTTCGTTTCGGGAAACTCGGCATCGATCGAGTGAGCAGTGTATTCAGACCGTTATATACAGCGTTATAATTTAAAGAGATAGTTCCGTTACATTGTTCTATTCTTACCTCGTACTCCATCGCAAACTATCAAGAACTTCATCTTTGTATAGATACAGCAACCGAAGCTCGTTCAATCGATATGATACCAATAATCCCGCATCTTCAACACTCGCTACCCCATACGGTTCCCATAATCCTCATACGATCTAGCCGAACAACGCTCCAAACGCCTGGTAATCCTCGCAGGAAGGATCCCAGTGTCCTTCAATTTCAGTCCAGCGCGATATGCACCGTTACTTCCGCGTCGCGCGGATGGTCCGCGCCATTCCGCCGGGTAGCCAGCAATTCCCGGGTTGCGGCGGGGGTAGGTAGCGTTGCCAATTTCGAGGCGGGCTCGCCGGCGTTCACGGTTTCCCGGGGTATAACGCGCCTCGGGCGACGGTTTCCGCGGTCCTCGTCGTATCGCGAGCGGGAAACGGCTGTCCAGGGCCGCGCGGTTCCACGACGGAGACGACCGTGCGGCGAGTCTTCGAATACGCTTCGGAGCCGGGGACGCGCACGCTCGCTCGACCGTATGCGGATACACCTTATGACTATTAAGGTATTCACGGCTCCTCGGAGGACGCCCCACTTTGAAATATGGCGCCTCTAGTCATCCTCTGCATGCCGGGAATCACCCTCTTCCCTCTTCCGCCTCGCTCCGGCCCCGCCGCCCGGTGAGCCGCCCTACCGGCAGCCTCCTTTTACCACCTTCTCTCTCCTGATCCTTTTATTTCCGCGTATCTCGGTCCTCTCTGGCCGAGCGTACACAACCGCCCCGTCGATGCTCGCCGGTGTCTCTCCCCCGTCGACGGTTCTCCATATTATTTACAGCCTCGTCCCCCGTGTTATTTCGCAATAAATTGAGGAGACCGGGCGCTCGCCTGCGCGGGACGCGGCCCGACTGAGTGTCACCAAATTGGTGGAAACCGAGAACGTCGTAACCCGCCTCGCTCCTGACATCCCTGAGTGATGTACTATCGCGCGGAACCGACGGCTGCGACGTATCCCGCTCGCCCGCCCACCCCTTCGACGCCCGGCCGCCCGGAACACACCCCCGCCGCTGGATAGGGGAATCGATACGCGTGACCGCGAGTGACGATATTTTTATTGTGGATCCGACCGAAGTCGCGAATTTTAGAACTGAGAGTCACGGATTAGGGGGATGGATCTTCTCGGGAGTTCCTCGGGTTCCGTTCGTTATTCGGCTGATGAGCGGCGATGGGGTTGAATTTGAGTCGTTCGATTGAGAGATTGGGAGGCGTTTAGAATTGTGAATATGTAACTTGCGGTGACAGGAGGATGAATGTACATAGAATGAATTAAATGATTAGATAGAGCTGTTGAGTTTTTAATATGCTGCGTATTAACCCTTAACAGATGGCACTTCTACTTATTGGGTCCATTGGATTAGTCACTGTTATCATTGTAATATTTACAATTAACAGGTTAAGTGTGGGTCACTTTTGCGAAGTCCTTTTCGCTTGTTAGCTGTTACAGGATTTTTCCTCGGTAAGTAAACTTGAAATACTTCCGGTCCGTTAAGAGTTAATATCTTTGTCGGTTTGATATGATAAGTTATTGCTTTCGACTTCGATTATTCAGGTATGAACAGAGCGTAAGAATGAATTTCCGGGAGCTTCCGAATCGATCCGCGTTTTCGGACGCGCAACAGGACAAGAGAGCCGATAGCCAGCCCGGCGAAATCCCATTTTTCGCGAGAGGATATAATCCCGTTAGCACGCGTGGATTTTCCCGTCAGCCAGGTGGTTACACCCGGGCGCGTAGGATTAAAAAACGTCAATTCGCAATTATCGCCGGCGTTACGTAGCCGGGGCGGGCCGGTTAATGGAATTTTTGAGAAGGAGATTATACAGGACGGTTTATTCAATTTCGCGCGTTGTGTCGCGAATTCTAGCGCGCTAATTCCGCGGCTCGTCTCGCCTGGATCCTGACATCATGGATCTTTCTTCAACTGACAGGTCCAGTGTCACAGCGAATTCCGCGGTATTTCTTTTGATTGACAATTTCACGCGGAAACTTCTATGGAAGAACTTTTACAACAATTTCAATGTTGCGTTCATTGGAAGTTATATAAAAATTATCAAATAATTCAGTATAGTAGTAACTAACACAGAAATATACCAGTATAGAAATAATTAGCAATATAGTAATAATTCACGTAGTAATATACCAATATAGAAATAATTAGTAATATAATAATAATTCACGTAGTAATATACCAATATAGAAATAACTGGCAATATAGTAATAATTCACTTAGTAATACAACAACATAGAAATAATTAGCAATATAGTAATAATTCACGTAGTAATACAACAACATAGAAATAATTAGCAATATAGTAATAATTCACGTAGTAATACAACAACATAGAAATAATTAGCAATATAGTAATAATTCACGTAGTAATACAACATAGAAATAATTAGCAATATAGTAATAATTCACGTAGTAATACAACATAGAAA